TGCTCCTGTTTTTAATGAAGCACAAGCACTTGGAATATTCCTTTATTCAGAAAAAAACAAGAAGAAATATTCTTTTATTTTTTATTAATTTTTTTTAAATATCTTACCTAGCTGAGGAATAGATCAAAGTACATGTATGCTCTGCGGCTGAAAGAGTATTGCTATCAGGTGTACTATATTAAAAAAAATGTATAAAGAAATGTTTATATTAATAAAAAGAACAAGGACGAACTTCATAACTAGGATTCCATGACGTGTTGTTACTTCAGTATCAATTTTATCTTTTCTTGTACCTACTCGTCCGATTAATTTCAAACGAGGTGATCCTTCTATAACCGCACTTGTTACTTTAGGTGCACTTCGAACAATAAAGATATCAACTTTTTAGTATAAATAAATATATAAATAACTAAGTCATCAGTAGTAATAATAATAATACATGAAATCGTGTAATTAATTGTTTTTGGGATTGTTCAGATAATTATATATCTTTTTCAACCGAAAATCCATTAGCAATTAACATATCAAGACATTGAGAATTCATATCAGCTGTGATTAAAACACAGTTCATATTACCGTAAGAATCCATTTCTAATCTAGAAACATAAAATTTGAAGTGTCATGTGGCAGATTTTATATATATGTATGTTGTAGGCAAACTTGAGATTCAGACAAATTTTAAGTTTGTCTGAATCTCAAGTTTGCCTACAACATACAGATATGTGGTTAAAGTACACTTGAGGATCAGTTTCGTTCAATCAGCGAATGAGAAGAAACAATATAATTTTTTTTCTTTTTCTATCCTCTATTATTCTATTGTGCACTGTTTATCAATTTTTTTTCTTTTTGTATCTATAATATATATACACCATGCGTGATTTCTACGATATGATCTAATACAATGTGGCGCCATCTTTTGACTCGTGTTAAAGGATGGCACTTTATTTTGTCGTGTAATATGTGTTTTCTTTGTTTCTATAGGGCGACAACAGCGAATAAACAATCAGTAATGAATCAAAATTTCTTTTAGCTGAAGCTTGGATCACCATTGTACATAGAATATTTTGTGATTTTTTTTACTCTGATGGCGAATGATACCGAAGAAAAAATAGATTTATTGATAAATTCTTTAAATGATCGATTACATATGGCAATGAGTAATAGAACAAAGAATACGTTGCATCATTTATATAAACATTTTGCTGGTTTTACTGATAATGAAAATGCATGTTTGCTATTTGATCGTTTTATAACTGAATTAGATGAGGATATTCGTATTGGTTATTCATGTTTTGAAGAAAAAGCATTCAGTATTCAAATAAATGATTTACGAGAACGTGCACAACATGCAATCAAAGAATTCACGTTCCAAATCAGTAATGATTCAAAAACTGATCAAATTGAATCGTCTATGAACAGATTGACGAAAATAATTAGTGACATATTTGTTGAAATAACAGATATGTTTAATAGCATGAATGTAAGTGTAATTTTCTCAGAAATTTTTACGGTTTCTGTTTTTCTAAACCATTAGGTGCAAATGGGTGGTCTTAGGAAAGAAGTTTTGGAACTTAGACAAGAATTTGATATTTTAAAACAGCGTCAAATGATAAATGATCATCATCTTTTGGTCCGTGAATTATTTAATAATGCAAGATTTCTTTTAAGTGATTTAGTTCGACAGGTGAAATTACCTAATAATTATGTGGACCAGATTTACGATGTAAATTGTGATATTCAGACTTTGACCACAACAAATTCCTACTTATCTTATATAATTAAAACTGTTGCAGCCAAGTTCAGTTTAAGCCCGGTTGAACTCGTTAAATTTTTACGTTTTAAACAACAATCAAATGCCACATTTCATTTGGATTGGGAGATGAAAGAATTTGCTACACAACACGTAATCGATGAAAAATACGATTTATTAAAATTTATCGAAAAGAAACAATTATTAATCAACATCGACGAAAACGAAATGAAGAAATTACAATCTGTATTTGAGAAAGTGTGTGAAATTTTCAATAATCAAAGGTATGCCGATTGTTCACTGTTCTTTTTTCAATGGAATAGATGTGAAATGTTTTTTCAATTTGAATTTCTGTTCAACTGGGTGTTTTTTGTCTTTCTAGTCCTCAAAACCAACAACATCAATTCCGAGTAAATGATCGTGTCAAAGTCCTGTACGATGACGGCATGGTAACCCTAGAATCTCTTCTCTATTATTATAGTCGTTTCTTACTCTATTTAGTTCTATGATGCTACATTGATCACGTTTGATCCAAGAACTAACAAATGGAAAATTCGTTATGATGATCAACGATATATACCTCATTGGACAATCGCTGCACGAATATTTCAAGTGTAGTGTTTGTAGTCGTATACAAAGAATTATTGATCTTGAAACAAGAACATGTTTATTTTAAATAAAGCTTATAGGAACAAGTTAAAGATAATTCTGATTGTATGATTCAGCAACAGAACATATTCTACATGTGAAATATTGAATAGTGTGAATTCATATTAGATGCGGACAACTTCGAAGTCGATTGAACTCGACTCTGATTGAATTTTGTTGATTATGACCTCTATGTTCAAGAATACACGTTGTTGGGTGGAGTTGAGATGAGAAATTATCTTCAATAAACAACATGTTAAGAGAGTGATTCTTGTTTAATGAATATTTGAGAGAAGACTTTAGAATCTACTTGGGTTTACAATTCTTGAAGCTTTATAGTTCATTGATTGAGTGTCATAATTGATTATGAAAGATAGTTTTGTATTCTTTTCCACAACAAAGATAATGACGATCGCTAATAGTCATCATAGTGTATTTAATTAACAAGTATTAAAATCTGAATCCATAATTTATTTCAATATCTTGTTAAATCATTGAAACATTGTGCCGATTAAATAGATCAGGATGATAAAGGACTTATTTCAAGACATTGATGTTCGATTAGAAAGAACACTCTTATTCCCTCGACTGAAGGGAGGGTCATACGAAAAAAACTAAAATGCGTTTGTGGCTCTGTCTGTGCCAGGGTCAAAGGTCAAAGGTCAAAAAAACATGAGATCACAAAATCTTACTTTCACCCTGAGAAATCATCCAATCACAGGTATTCGGACTTGCTCGTTCGACCAATCAGATTTTTTCAAGCTAAAAAACAGCCAATCAGTGGTTTTCGACCTCGAGCTTTCGACCAATCAGATTCTTTCAAGCTAAAAAGTCAGCCAATCAGGGGTTTTCCACCTCGGGCTTTCGACCAATCAGATTCTTTCAAGCTAAAAACCAGCCAATCAGAGGTTTTCAACCTCGGGCTTTCGACCAATCAGATTCTTTCAAGCTAAAAAGTCAGTCAATCAGGGGTGTGGGTGTGGGTATGGGGTGGATGGGTGTGGATGTCGCTTGCCTATTTATTCACATCCATATCCGCACTCACACCCACACCTTTAGGTACAGTACAAACAGCATAGGTCAAACAGATTGGTAACAGCATCAGTGAAATGCGACGGTTACGATGAGCACTTATTGCTAATTGATCATTTGTAGATATTTGTGTAAAAATCAGCTTTTTTATTATAAGAAATGTACATGCAAATACAATAGTAGACGGTAGAAAATACATAATCACCACGTGAATCTTTACAAGAAAATGAATGTTAGATTAAATTATATATTTAGTTTAATACTTACCCATGAATATTGAATAGCAAAGAAATTATTGAGTTCATTATTCAATGAATAATAACATGCTACATCGGTTTGTATTATTCGTGTATTATTGTCATATGTCGTATATTCAAAACCTAATGCAAATAAAAATCCATTTAATGCAAATAAAATTATTAAAATAATAACACGAATTATGAATGCAACACTTGGTCAAGCTACTTTAATTTTATACCATCGATCTCTTAATAAATAGGCTCGATCAAGTTCGACAAAAGTAAGAAGCATAGCTGATGTATGTAAAGTATAAAAAGGAAAAAATTGACTCAATATACAAATGAATAATGATCGACCCCATATTTGTTTTTGACCATTTGTGAATGTATATACGGCATTACTTAAATTCCATTGATAAAGTGATATTGTATCCACAAGACATAAAAATATCAAATAGATATTAGTTGATGTTCCTGGATTTTCTTTATTGAGTAAAACAAAAATAGATATAAGATTGCCGACAGTACCAATTACAATAAGAAATATAGGAACAATACCACTTATGATTAATTCAGCTGTTTCGTAAGGAGCTGGATTTTTCTTTCGATACCATGAAGCCATTTGATGCTCACCAGTATGTATACTATATAGTATGTGCTACAACAGAAATCTTGAAATGAATGATGTTATAATAGCTACATTTTTTTTCTTCACTTTTTCTCGGCTTGTTTTCACAGTCAGTGTTCTTGAGTTTTTCTACTCATTTTCTCTTGTCTATTACAAAAAAAGAAAACAGGAAAAAAAAACTTCTATAGTCTTAATCAGATTAATTTTCAAATTGTATCTCATTCACAATATATAGCTTTTGGAACACCATTATTGATAATAGGAATTACTAAAATCCGAAGAAATCTTTTGGAGAAGAGAAAAATTTCAAGCTCTCTTGATTGCAGCTCTCATGAACATCATCCTTGTTTACGAGAATAATCAGAGTGGTCAAATCAGTATAAGTGTTACGAAAATGACAAAATTTCTGTATTAGATTTGAAATAATAAATTGATGCTTTTGTGTTATTAGTAAGTTAGCATGACCATAATGCAAAGAATCATCATAATCTACGAAAGCTTTTTGAAGGAGAATTATATATGCCAGCACATTCTGCGTATGACTACTCGTTTGAAATATTGGAAACTACCAGCAGCGGCAAAAAAGCAGTACCCGATTGATAAGAAAAGAAAAAATAAGTAGATCAGCAAATGCTAAACCTGCTTTGCAAGTATAGTGATTGAATTTTCATTCATTGTTTAAATTTCTATTTAATGTTCTTTTGAAATTCTTCTTATTTATTTTTCTTCTGATAAAATCTTCATTTTTAATCATTAAATTTGAATTTTTTTACTGATAGTTATATATAAAAAGTTGACAACCTTATAAACAATAACAAAGTTAATAGTGCTGTTTCACTGGTCAACTCTGGATCTCGCTTACTCGTGATTAGAGAAGGATCCAAGTAAAAAATTTGTTCGATTGAAATTGATTAAAGTCTAGAAATCTGATGGTCATAAACAAGATCATAAAGTCGACTATTCTATAAGAAAGACAAAAATTAATATCAATTAAAAATGGATTTTTTTTCAAAAATTATAATCAAATTGAGGTTAATTATAAGCTGCCAAACAAAAAAGAATTTTTATTGTTTTTATTTATGGTTTTTTTCCAACTAATCGGATTCATGATTTTAACTATAATTGATTATAAATCAAATATAATCGACAGAAGAATTTGATTTTCAAAGATGTTAATTTTAACTTTAATCCACATGATTTTGATAAAAACTACTCAACATAAATTGTAAATTGATGATGACTTAAAGGGAAACCGCCGTTTTTCAAATAGTTGTCGAAATTCAATAAAATTTGGGCTAATAGTAGAACTAAAATGAGATACATTCATCATAAAACTTAGAATTCGATATATCTTATTGAAGAGGACTGATAGTGAAAAATATGTCTGCATTAGATTAATGTAATAATAGGAAGAGTTTTGCTTAGTATGATTCACAGCAGGATCAACGCTTTTTAGATTTCACAGCACTAAAAATATTATTTGTCCGAAGAGAGATACGCCTATGTCAAGATCAAAAATTGACTTTCAGCTGAAAAAAAGAGAAAATTTTTCTTATTTGAAGTAAATATCTGCCAAATTGAGGCTAGATTTTAGGTCTTGATCTTCGTCAATAGACAGATCAATGTATACAATTACTATAATAATAAATTCGTACTAGAAAATCTTATAAAATATTTCATCCTTCATTTCTTTCAAGAATAAATATATTTTTGGACGCCATTGTAGTCAATTAGAACCTCATTATAGAGCAGCTATTGTATGATGCAAATTACATTTATAAGATTTAGTTGTGCCAATGTTGATATTACCTCCCGTTGGTCTTCCGTTCGTCTTTCCTCTTTATCTTGTCTCTATTGTTCTTTTCTATATTCACATTTCTCTCTTGCTCTCTCCTATATGGGCATGTGCTTTATGTGAGTTAGCTCAATAAACATCATTACGGAGGGTAGCGATAAGCTACTCCTCCAGTTTGTCTTTACACTAGTATCTTTTGAATTTATATGAGTAAATTGTATTTTTCTTTTTATGAATTATATCAAGTTGCTGAAGTACAAAATGAGCCCTATCTTTATAAGTGGTGTTGAAAAAAAGTATTATAAGAAAAAAAGCGAATTTTGACGATTGTGATGTATTGCTATTCTTCATCGTGTATGTTAGCTACATTTATAGATAGGTCAGTAGGAATAAAAGTAGTATGCGATAAAGGTAATATTAATAAATTCAGATTGTATGTATCATTATTAAGACGAAATCTTAGAGAGTAACTACCTATGAAAAGCTACACATTGGTCTTATTTGTACCATAATTAGTACCTAGAAGATTTGTGAAAAAAGACGGATGATAAATACAACTGGTTTCAGTACTACATCAGGATTTCAAAGCCATTCTAATAGATAAATGTTTTCTGTTATTACTTTTCTTGTTCTTTTCGGTGTGTGTTGTTTCGTGTAAACCATCCCCAAATCCTTCTTTTGTAGACATATTCACATCATCCAAATATGATCCATTGTCGCAGTCATAGTTAGCATAACTCTTGTGAAGAATATTACTACTGGATAAAATAAAATTAGAACAATTACATTGATAATAATGATCCATTTGATATTACTCAAGCAGCCTATTGTCAATGCAAAGCAACAGACCTAAAACTATCGAATTTTATGCACATACTGTCGGTGTCGTGTGATATCTATCGTTTGCACATCATGAGAACATCACTATTCTTGATTATCATAATCATTTGCACTCACTATTTCTATCACTGTTGGAATAACACAATGTTCAAAGATAGAAACTAGCTCGATAAAATAATAGTGTTGACGATGTTGTGCATTGTTTTTTTTCTGTCATATAATAAACATTGATTTTTGGTCAAATCACAAATATACTTGCAAATGTACGCCAAAACTAGGCGTGGAGTTCCGCAAACTCCAGTAATGGTTACAATTTAAAACGATTTGCTCGATCTGAGGCACAGATTGTATTTAAAATAGTATAGAATATACAATAGCTGCCCTATGATGAGGTTCTAATCGGCTACAATGACATTCAAAAATATAGTCATTCTTA